TAATCTACTGTATAATATAAAAATTTAATATTCTATGTACAGCTTAACAAAATTTTAAAGGTTTAAGTAGTCTGAAAGCCAAAATAATTTTAATCTTTTCCAAAAGCCCAAGTATAATAGAGGCTCTCTTTGCACTGCAACCCATTATTGTAAATACAAAATCTCAATGTACTATTTGCAAAGACATTAATAAATAAATAAATAACATATGAGCAATAACAAATGAGTAACTGAAAATGGTAAATTACATAGCACATCACTTGTACACAATGAACAATACTGTGTTGTACAATGTTTGGATTACGAACACTACTACAGGTTGTACAATACTTGGATATACTGAACACTACTACAATTGTACAATACTTGGATATACTGAACACTACTACATGTTGTACAATACTTGGATATACTGAACACTACTACAAGTTGTACAATACTTGGATATACTGAACACTACTACAAGTTGTACAATACTTGGTAAAGAACACTACACAGTTGTAAATACTTGGTATATAACACACTACATTTGTAAATACTTGGGGTAACTGAACACTACTAATGTTGTACAAAACTTGGATATACTAACACACACATGTTTATAATCTTGGATTACTGAACACTACACAATTGAAATACTTTGATATACTGAAATACTACATGTTTTACAAAACTGGAAAACTGAACACTACTCATTTGGGACAATCTTGGTATACTGACATACTAATGGTAAAAACTTTGGATATACGAACACACACATGTTGTATAAAAATTGGATATATGAAAACTACTAATGTTGTACAATAGTATTACGAACATATACAAATTGTACAAACTTGGATATATTGAACCTATACATTTGTACAAAATTTGATATACTGAAATACAATACTGGGAAAAAATTTTTACTTTTTATGTCCTTGTACAAGGGGAAAAAACACTAACAAGTTGTAATTAACAGAAGTGTAACATTGACCCAGGTGTTAGACAGTTCTCAATGTTGAAGACCTGACCACCTCAACACTACTACATCAATGTTGAAGACCTCACCACGTCAACACTACCACATCAGTGTTGATGACCTGACCACCTCAACACTACCACATCAATGTTAAAGACCTGACCACCTCAACACTACCACATCAATGTTGAAGACCTCACCACCTCAACACTACCACATCAATGTTAAAGACCTGACCACCTCAACACTACCACATCAATGTTAAAGACCTGACCACCTCAACACTACCACATCAATGTTAAAGACCTGACCACCTCAACACTACCACATCAATGTTGAAGACCTCACCACCTCAACACTACCATATCAATGTTGAAGACCTGACCACCTCAACACTACCACATCAAGGATGTTGGACTGATCACATCATCCTTACCTCTCTACTGCTTCCAACTTTTAGTCACCTCTGTATTCGATTGAAATTTAGTCACCTGTGTATTTGACTGAAGTGTCGCACATGTGTTTTATGCAGCCAGTTGTGGAGACTGAACATGTGTTTTATGCAGCCAGTTGTGGAGACTAAACATGTGTTTTATGCAGCCAGTTGTGGAGACTGAACATGTGTTTTATGCAGCCAGTTGTGGAGACTGAACATGTGTTTTATGCAGCCAGTTGTGGAGACTGAACATGTGTTTTATGCAGCCAGTTGTGGAGACTAAACATGTGTTTTATGCAGCCAGTTGTGGAGACTGAACATGTGTTTTATGCAGCCAGTTGTGGAGACTAAACATGTGTTTTACGCAGCCAGTTGTGGAGACTGAACATGTGTTTTATGCAGCCAGTTGTGGAGACTGAACATGTGTTTGATGCAGCCAGTTGTGGAGACTGAACATGTGTTTTATGCAGCCAGTTGTGGAGACTAAACATGTGTTTTACGCATATATTGCACAGACCATGTACATATATTGCACAGACCATGTACATATATTGCACAGACCATGTACATATATTGCACAGACCATGTGCATATGTTGCACAGACCATGTACATATGTTGCACAGACCATGTGCATATGTTGCACAGACCATGTACATATGTTGCACAGACCATGTACATATGTTGCACAGACCATGTACATATGTTGCACAGACCATGTACATATATTGCACAGACCATGTACATATATTGCACAGACCATGTGCATATGTTGCACAGACCATGTACATATGTTGCACAGACCATGTACATATGTTGCACAGACCATGTACAAATCGTCCCACTATCATAAATTTTAGAGATAATATACTCACTGTCACACTACCATGTGCTGGATTAAGATTGAAAATGCTGTCACTACCATATATTGTAGGAGACACAGACTCACTACCATATATTGTAGAAGACATAGACTCACTACCATATATTGTAGGAGACACAGACTCACTACCATATATTGTAGAAGACATAGACTCACTACCATATATTGTAGAAGACATAGACTCACTACCATATATTGTAGAAGACATAGACTCACTACCATATATTGTAGGAGACACAGACTCACTACCATATATTGTAGAAGACATAGACTCACTACCATATATTGTAGAAGACATAGACTCACTACCATATATGTAGAAGACATAGACTCACTACCATATATTGTAGGAGACATAGACTCACTACCATATATTGTAGGAGACATAGACTCACTACCATATATTGTAGAAGACATAGACTCACTACCATATATTGTAGAAGACATAGACTCACTACCATATATTGTAGAAGACATAGACTCACTACCATATATTGTAGGAGACATAGACTCACTACCATATATTGTAGGAGACACAGACTCACTACCATATATTGTAGAAGACATAGACTCACTACCATATATTGTAGAAGACATAGACTCACTACCATATATTGTAGAAGACATAGACTCCACTACCATATATTGTAGAAGACATAGACTCACTACCATATATTGTAGAAGACATAGACCACTACCATATATTGTGAAGACCATAGACTCACTACCATATATTGTAGAAGACATAGACTCACTACCATATATTGTAGAAGACACAGACTCACTACCATATATTGTAGAAGACATAGACTCACTACCATATATTGTAGAAGACATAGACTCACTACCATATATTGTAGAAGACATAGACTCACTACCATATATTGTAGGAGACATAGACTCACTACCATATATTGTAGGAGACATAGACTCACTACCATATATTGTAGAAGACATAGACTCACTACCATATATTGTAGGAGACACAGACTCACTACCATATATTGTAGAAGACATAGACTCACTACCATATATTGTAGAAGACACAGACTCACTACCATATATTGTAGAAGACATAGACTCACTACCATATATTGTAGAAGACATAGACTCACTACCATATATTGTATAAGACATAGACTCACTACCATATATTGTAGAAGACATAGACTCACTACCATATATTGTAGAAGACATAGACTCACTACCATATATTGTAGAAGACATAGACTCACTACCATATATTGTAGGAGACATAGACTCACTACCATATATTGTAGGAGACACAGACTCACTACCATATATTGTAGAAGACATAGACTCACTACCATATATTGTAGAAGACATAGACTCACTACCATATATTGTATAAGACATAGACTCACTACCATATATTGTAGAAGACATAGACTCACTACCATATATTGTAGAAGACATAGACTCACGTAGAATCAGGGGGGATATGATTGAGGTTTATAAGTGGAAGACAGGAATAAATAAAGGGGATGTAAATAGTGTGCTGAAAATATCTAGCCTAGACAGGACTCGCAGCAATGGTTTTAAGTTGGAAAAATTCAGATTCAGGAGGGATATAGGAAAGTACTGGTTTGGTAATAGAGTTGTGGATGAGTGGAACAAACTCCCAAGTACCGTTATAGAGGCCAGAACGTTGTGTAGCTTTAAAAATAGGTTGGATAAATACATGAGTAGATGTGGGTGGGTGTGAGTTAGACCTGATAGCTTGTGCTAACAGGTCGGTTGCCGTGTTCCTCCCTTAACTCAATGTGACCTGACCTGACTAGGTTGGGTGCATTGGCTTAAGCCGGTAGGGACTTGGACCTGCCTCGCATGGGCCAGTAGGCCTTCTGCAGTGTTCCTTCGTTCTTATGTTCTTATGTTCTTATATTGTATAAGACATAGACTCACTACCATATATTGTAGAAGACATAGACTCACTACCATATATTGTAGAAGACATAGACTCACTACCATATATTGTAGAAGACATAGACTCACTACCATATATTGTAGAAGGCATAGACTCACTACCATATATTGTAGAAGACATAGACTCACTACCATATATTGTAGAAGGCATAGACTCACTACCATATATTGTAGAAGACATAGACTCACTACCATATATTGTAGAAGACATAGACTCACTACCATATATTGTAGAAGACATAGACTCACTACCATATATTGTAGAAGACATAGACTCACTACCAATATTGTAGAAGACATAGACTCACTACCATATATTGTAGAAGACATAGACTCACTACCATATATTGTAGAAGACATAGACTCACTACCATATATTGTAGAAGACATAGACTCACTACCATATATTGTAGAAGACATAGACTCACTACCATATATTGTAGAAGACATAGACTCACTACCATATATTGTAGAAGACATAGACTCACTACCATATATTGTAGAAGACATAGACTCACTACCATATATTGTAGAAGACATAGACTCACTACCATATATTGTAGAAGACATAGACTCACTACCATATATTGTATAAGACATAGACTCACTACCATATATTGTAGAAGACATAGACCACTACCATATATTGTAGAAGACATAGACTCACTACCATATATTGTAGAAGACATAGACTCACTACCATATATTGTAGAAGACATAGACTCACTACCATTTATTGTAGAAGACATAGACTCACTACCATATATTGTAGAAGACACAGACTCACTACCATATATTGTTGAAGACATAGACTCACTACCATATATTGTAGAAGACATAGACTCACTACCATATATTGTAGAAGACATAGACTCACTACCATATATTGTAGAAGACATAGACTCACTACCATATATTGTAGAAGACATAGACTCACTACCATATATTGTAGGAGACATAGACTCACTACCATATATTGTAGAAGACATAGACTCACTACCATATATTGTAGAAGACATAGACTCACTACCATATATTGTTGAAGACATAGACTCACTACCATATATTGTAGAAGACATAGACTCACTACCATATATTGTAGAAGACATAGACTCACTACCATATATTGTAGAAGACATAGACTCACTACCATATATTGTAGAAGACATAGACTCACTACCATATATTGTAGGAGACATAGACTCACTACCATATATTGTAGAAGACATAGACTCACTACCATATCAAAAACTAACAGAGTAGCTCATATACTTTTTACAATATTAGACTTAGAAATCTTAGTAATTGCCTTGTTTGATGGGTAATTCACCTTAAATGTGTAGGATTGTTAACCAGCGCCGACTAATATGTGTACTGTGAGGCTGGTTGGACTTGGAGGCTAAGAGACTTGATATGAAGTAGCAATATTATTTTTTATAGGGGGGAACCTCCTGGGTGTTAAGGTGATAGGGGACCTGGGGTTGGTGGGGGACGTGGGGGTGATGGGGGACGTGAGGGAGGTGTGGGACCTGAGGGTGATGGGAGTCCTGCGGGTGATGGTGGTGAATTTTGGTTAGGTTGAGACACCTCAGAGACCCCAGTTGGTCCTGCTGCTGAGAGAGTTTGAGTAGGGAAGAGAAAAAAATAAATATTAGTACGTAATTAATACAATTTGCATTTATAATAAAAGTGAATATAAATCATATTAAGATATTCAAATATTAAAATATATGTTAAATATTATCATTTAGTTACATCTGCATAATAATCTTAAACCATTATTATAATCATGGGGAGTGCTAAATCCGTAGGGATTATACAGCGCCTGTGAGGGGAGGGATGGAAGGCATTCAAACTCATTTCAGAGAACTGGAGGACAGAGCAAATTCCCAAGATTAAGAGTCCCCCACGAGCGTCAAGGCTTATTACGTATAATGTTAAGACTTTGGAGAGTTGTGTTACGGCAGGAGTTTCAAAGTCCTCTGTCCACATAACAAGATATCCCTCATCCCATTTTTCGCTTTATTAAATGTTACTCTCATTACTGTAATATATATATATAGAGAGAGATTGCAGTCAGCAAAATTCGAACCTACTACAGGAAGACTGGCAAGGCGTCCCACTCAGCCACAAATGCCTCAGAACCTAGTCAGCCTGGTTTACAAGCCATGTTTCTTCCCAGCCCGGAGACATCAGTCACCTTCAAGCATGTTTCAAGCTTTTTCTGTCTCATAAACACGCTAGATAACAGGGATATCTTGCTACTCCTACTTACACTTTGGTCACACTTCACAGACATGCACATGCATATATATATACATACATCTAGGTTTTTCTCCTTTTTCTACATAGCTCTTGTTCTTCTTTATTTCTTCTATTGTCCATGGGGAAGTGGAAAAGAATCTTACCTCCGTAAGCCATGCGTGTCGTATGAGGCGACTAAAATGCCGGGAGCAATGGACTAGTAACCCCTTCTCCTGTAGACATTACTAAAAAGAGAAGAAGAAAAACTTTATAAAACTGGGATGCTTGAATGTGCGTGGATGTAGTGCGGATGACAAGAAACAGATGATTGCTGATGTTATGAATGAAAAGAAGTTGGATGTCCTGGCTCTAAGCGAAACAAAGCTGAAGGGGGTAGGGGAGTTTCGGTGGGGGGAAATAAATGGAATTAAATCTGGAGTATCTGAGAGAGTTAGAGCAAAGGAAGGGGTAGCAGTAATGTTGAAGGATCAGTTATGGAAGGAGAAAAGAGAATATGAATGTGTAAATTCAAGAGTTATGTGGATTAAAGTAAAGGTTGGATGCGAAAACTGGGTCATAATAAGCGTGTATGCACCTGGAGAAGAGAGGAATGTAGAGGAGAGAGAGAGAGATTTTGGGAGATGTTAAGTGAATGTATAGGAGCCTTTGAACCAAGTGAGAGAGTAATTGTGGTAGGGGACCTGAATGCTAAAGTAGGAGAAACTTTTAGAGAGGGTGTGGTAGGTAAGTTTGTGGTGCCAGGTGTAAAGGAAAATGTGAGCCCTTTGATTGAACTTTGTATAGAAAGGGGTTTAGTTATAGGTAATACATATTTTAAGAAAAAGAGGATAAATAAGTATACAAGATATGATGTAGGGCGAAATGACAGTAGTTTGTTGGATTATGTATTGGTAGATAAAAGACTATTGAGTAGTCTTCAGGATGTACATGTTTATAGAGGGGCAACAGATATATCAGATCACTTTCTAGTTGTAGCTACACTGAGAGTAAAAGGTAGATGGGATACAAGGAGAATAGAAGCATCAGGGAAGAGAGAGGTGAAGGTTTATAAACTAAAAGAGGAGGCAGTTAGGGTAAGATATAAACAGCTACTGGAGGATAGATGGGCTAATGAGAGCATAGGCAATGGGGTCGAAGAGGTATGGGGTAGGTTTAAAAATGTAGTGTTAGAGTGTTCAGCAGAAGTTTGTGGTTACAGGAAAGTGGGTGCGGAAGGGAAGAGGAGCGATTGGTGGAATGATGATGTAAAGAGAGTAGTAAGGGAGAAAAAGTTAGCATATGAGAAGTTTTTACAAAGCAGAAGTGATGCAAGGAGGGAAGAGTATATGGAGAAAAAGAGAGAGGTTAAGAGAGAGGTGAAGCAATGTAAAAAGAGAGCAAATGAGAGAGTGGGTGAGATGTTATCAACAAATTTTGTTGAAAATAAGAAAAAGTTTTGGAGTGAGATTAACAAGTTAAGGAAGCCTAGAGAACAAATGGATTTGTCAGTTAAAAATAGAAGAGGAGAGTTATTAAATGGAGAGTTAGAGGTATTGGGAAGATGGAGGGAATATTTTGAGGAATTGTTAAATGTTGATGAAGATTGGGAAGCGGTGATTTCGTGTATAGGGCAAAGAGGAATAACATCTTGAAGGAGTGAGGAAAAGCCAGTTGTGAGTGTGGGGGAAGTTCGTGAGGCAGTAGGTAAAATGAAAGGGGGTAAGGCAGCCGGGATTGATGGGATAAAGATAGAAATGGTAAAAGCAGGTGGGGATATAGTTTTAGAGTGGTTGGTGCAATTATTTAATAAATGTATGGAAGAGGGTAAGGTACCTAGGGATTGGCAGAGAGCATGCATAGTTCCTTTGTATAAAGGCAAAGGGGACAAAAGAGAGTGCAAAAATTATAGGGGGATAAGTCTGTTGAGTATACCTGGTAAAGTGTATGGTAGAGTTATTATTGAAAGAATTAAGAGTAAGACGGAGAATAGGATAGCAGATGAACAAGGAGGCTTTAGGAAAGGTAGGGGTGGGTGGACCAGGTGTTTACAGTGAAACATATAAGTGAACAGTATTTAGATAAAGCTAAAGAGGTCTTTGTGGCATTTATGGATTTGGAAAAGGCGTATGACAGGGTGGATAGGGGGGCAATGTGGCAGATGTTGCAAGTGTATGGTGTAGGAGGTAGGTTACTGAAAGCAGTGAAGAGTTTTTACGAGGATAGTGAGGCTCAAGTTAGAGTATGTAGGAAAGAGGGAAATTATTTCCCAGTAAAAGTAGGCCTTAGACAAGGATGTGTGATGTCACCGTGGTTGTTTAATATATTTATAGATGGGGTTGTAAGAGAAGTAAATGCGAGGGTCTTGGCAAGAGGCGTGGAGTTAAAAGATAAAGAATCACACATAAAGTGGGAGTTGTCACAGTTGCTCTTTGCTGATGACACTGTGCTCTTGGGAGATTCTGAAGAGAAGCTGCAGAGGTTGGTGGATGAATTTTGTAGGGTGTGCAAAAGAAGAAAATTGAATGTGAATTCAGGAAAGAGTAAGGTAATGAGGATAACAAAAAGATTAGGTGATGAAAGATTGGATATCAGATTGGAGGGAGAGAGTATGGAGGAGGTGAATGTATTCAGATATTTGGGAGTGGACGTGTCAGCGGATGGGTCTATGAAAGATGAGGTGAATCATAGAATTGATGAGGGGAAAAGGGTGAGTGGTGCACTTCGGAGTCTGTGGAGACAAAGAACTTTGTCCTTGGAGGCAAAGAGGGGAATGTATGAGAGTATAGTTTTACCAACGCTCTTATATGGGTGTGAAGCATGGGTGATGAATGTTGCAGCGAGGAGAAGGCTGGAGGCAGTGGAGATGGCATGTCTGAGGGCAATATGTGGTGTGAATATAATGCAGAGAATTCGTAGTTTGGAAGTTAGGAGGAGGTGCGGGATTACCAAAACTCTTGTCCAGAAGGCTGAGGAAGGGTTGTTGAGGTGGTTCGGACATGTAGAGAGAATGGAGCGAAACAGAGTGACTTCAAGAGTGTATCAGTCTGTCGTGGAAGGAAGGCAGGGTAAGGGTCGGCCTAGGAAAGGTTGGAGGGAGGGGGTAAAGGTGGTTTTGTGTGCGAGGGGCTTGGACTTCCAGCGGGCGTGCATGAGTGTGTTTGATAGGAGTGAATGGAGACAAATGGTTTTTAATACTTGACATGCTGTTGGAGTGTAAGCAAAGTAACATTTATGAAGGGGTTCAGGGAAACCGGCAGGCCAGACTTGAGTCCTGGAGATGGGAAGTACAGTGCCTGCACTCTGAAGGAGGGGTGTTAATGTTGCAGTTTAAAAACTGGAGTGTAAAGCACCGTTCTGGCAAGACAGTGATGGAGTGAATGATGGTGAAAGTTTTTCTTTTTCGGGCCACCCTGCCTTGGTGGGAATATGCCAGTGTGATAATAAAATAAAATATATATATATATATATATATATATATATATATATATATAATATATATATATATATATATATATATATATATGCAGAAGAATATATATATATATATATATATATATATATATATAATATATATTATATATATATATATATATATATATATATATATATATTATTGTGCCCACGAACGAGTGGTATTGATCAATAACAAAACTGCGACTAGCCAAGGAATCGAACCCATGCTGCTTTCGCCTGCCTCATGGTTGGCGACAACTCATGACGCCTTAATCCACTGGACCATATGATCCTTGAGAGTAGAGCATCAAGCGGAACTGGATGTTGTACTCGCTATCCAAGGACATATGATGGTGTGGATGACTCTAGGCTAATTTCATTCTAGTCCCTGTTTGGTGTACGAGTACAACGAGCAGTATTTTATATTATTGTGCCTAAGAACGAGTGGTATTGTGATCAATAACAACACTGCGACTAGCCAAGGACTCAAACCCATGCTGCTTTGGCTTGCCTCATCGTGGGCGAAAACTCATGACTCCTTAGTCCACTGTACCATACAATCCTTAAGGCGTCATGAGTTTTCGCCCATACTAGGCAGGTCCTTTACGATCCATCCCACTAACAAAATATTTGCCCAACCCAATTTTCAGTGCCACCCAAGGAATAAGCTCTGATAAATCTATCCACTCTCATATGCAAGTCCCACTCAAATCCAACCCCTCTCGCTCATGTATTTATCCAACCTAAATTTGATACTACCCAAGGTTTTAGCCTCAATAACCCAACTAGGTAGACTGTTCCACTCATCAACTACCCTATTTCCAAATCAATACTTTCCTATATCCTTTCTAAATCTAAACTTGTGTAATTTGAATCCATTACTGCGGGTTCTCTCTTGGAGAGATATCCACAAGAC